TTGTGCCGCAGGCACCCACTACCGCATCCAGCGCCTGGAGAACGGCTGGCTCTACATCTCGCCCCGGCTCACCTTCCCCAGCCTGCATGACCTGGTTGACTACTACTCGGGTAGGGCCCCGCGCGCCGCGCAGAGCCCAGACCCCGCTGCCCTGCTTGGCGCATGCACTGGGTGCAGCATCGTGCCCAAGTTCTCCTACCCTCTTTGGGCCCAGTGACTCCATAGCCACATGGGGATGGCCCGAGCGGAGGCGGGGGTGGCGTGAGCCCATGCGCCTGCACCCCAGCACTTGGAGTTGAGGGCAGAGGCTCCGCCCAGCGCCTGCAGCCTCTGCAGGGGACAGGGCCTCCAATCATCCCCAGCTCCTTGGCCGGGCGGGCAGGGTCGAGCACCCAGGTGCCCCCAGGGCCCAGTGTCGCATCTGGCTCCAGGGCCCAAGGCGGGCGGCTAGGGGCAGAAACCCTCTTGATGCCGTTGGCACCCCGTGCAGAGTGCGGGGACGGTCTCTGCTGCCTCCTCAAGGAGCCCTGCCACGTGGCTGGGGGGCGTCCGGCCCCAGCCCGGCGCCTGCCTCCGCCACTGGCTGTCAAGAAGCAGGCTCTGGACTGGGACCGGCTGGACAGGTAGGTGCAGCTAGTGGGGGTGGCACTCAGCTCTGTCCTGCTGCTGCAGCTGACGGCCCCTTCTCCTCCCGCACCAGCGCTGCGCTGTTGCCCGAGGCCATGGCACTGCCAGAGGAGGACTCGCCCATCAGCCTGGGCTTGCGTGACACCATCAGCTCCTACCTGCTGCTGACGGACCAGGCGCCGCGGGAGAAGGGCCCGGCCGAGAAGGGGAAGAGCAGGAAGAACAGCTGAGAGCAGGACCCGCTGCTTGGCCACCGCCCCGGGACAGCCACTCCTGCCCTCTCTGAAGTGGGCGCCAGTGCTTCAGCCAGGAGAGCTGAGGGCAGCGCAGGACCGCACGCTGCTCTCCCGGTCCCTAGGAGCATCCTGGCCTGTAGGGCTGGGATCAAAGACAGGACAGGCCACAGCACTGATACTGGAGAGAAAAAGCCTCCAGCGAAAGTTCAGCCTTGCTGAATCTGAGTGCTTTGGCACATGAGGGGCCTTCAGCCTGGCCCTGGCTCCATGGAAGCCGCAGGCAGAGCCCATTGCTGCCCCAGAAGCTGAGCCCTGGGCCCGGCTGCAGGGAATCGTGCTGCAGATCTGAACACGGTGACCACGACTCACGCAGGGCGGCTGCGGCGCTGCCTCCATGCGTACGGGGCACCAGGAGGATTGGCGCAGCTGACCGGGCCCTCACATGTGCACTAATTCAGCTTATGCCACTTTGTTGAGGCTGTCCAGGGGGCACCAGGCCCATGGGCAGTGGATACGTGCCCCCTCCTGCCTTTCTAAGCCCTTTTCAGCTGCCTCCCCAGGAACATGGAGCAAGGGGAGGGGACCACCACCCTCTTTCTTATTTTCTCTCAGGTAGCTGACCTTTAAGCCTGCTAAGTACGGAATTGCAGTAGGTTTAGGGCTCCTAAAATGGTTAGGAGCTCATTGGACATCTGGCAATAAACATCTTATACCTTCACTAAAGGACACCTCATGCACAGTTTGGGGTTGTATAATAAATCATGAACTGCCAACTGAATTCGTGGTGCAGGTTTGGGAACACCCCAGTTCTGCCTCTGCCCCAGCCCTTCCCAGCTGCCCGGCCTGGCCACAGGAGGAGCTGCCGGAGCCTCCAGCTCTCCCTGGCATAGCGAGCACTACAGCGAGCACTCCCTGCCAAGCCCTGTGCTCCGCACGAGCAGGGTATTCTGCCCTCCAGCCTTGATTTTTTTCTTTAATTAATATATTTACAGAATGCAATACAGTTATTGCTATTCTTGGAAAAGAAATGTATTCCTAGAAGAAGGATTTTTTTTTTCTTTTCTAGGGAGAAAAGGAAGCATGCAAATACTCATGTCAAACTCACATTGAAGCTAAAATTCTCTTGGGTAGATCAGTCAGCCTGAGAGACTGAATTAAAATCAGTATAAAGGCACCAAAAGAACAAGACTTCTAAAGCCTAGCTTTCAGCAGCCCCCTTATCAGCAAAGACAGGCCTGGGGCCAGGGCCTAAAACTTCCTCTGTGGTAAAAACCGATGCAGAAGCAATTCAGCTGCTTGGTAACATCTTTTCCTTCCTTTTCTGTGCACTCTCGGAGGCTGGTACCACAAGACCCCAGTGAGATGAAGGTTTCCTGCCTTTGACATGCTCAAACTGCCCCTTAATTTTCATGTCGCACTATTTTGCTTTTGCAAATCCAGCACAGCTTTCTCATTTCCCTCCACTTCCCCAGGCCCATTTTACATGCAGGCTTAAGCCTTTTGACTCAAAGGCAGCTTCCTAAGATGCAGGTGTCTGTCTTCGGGGCGGGGACTACTGCTTTCTCGCCTGAAGGTTTATTCCTCCATCTTTACCTTGTCCCGCAGCCAGCTGCAAGCGCTGCCGTCACCCTTAGCAGCACCAAGCCCAGCGCAGAGGATTTTGCTTCCTTTAGTTTTGCCATTAGGACCCTTTTAACCCATTTTGTGTTAATGAAGTCTATCTTTCTAGGAAAGCTTTGCCTTTTGGCCACCTTCCTAGTAGGAAGGGCCTACTCACACGCAGTCACGCGTCCTCTGTGACTTCTGCATGTTGCTTCTCAAATACCAGCCAGGAGCTAGCTCAGACGCCCCGCAGGAGCCTCACGGGCTGGCTCTGCCTGCAGGGAGGCAAAGACAAAACATGTTCAAAGCGCCTCCTTCTGGCCAGACTCGATTGGGCTGGAAACACCCTGCCAGGGCCCTGTGCCAGGGCCACTGTCACTGTGGAAGCGCTGCCGGTGTCCGCTTGCAGCCCTGCGGAGCTGCTGCCTCCAGCAGTGGCTGAGAGGGCCTGGGCCTAGCGGATCCGGCACAAACACGGCTCTGATTGCCAGCCACAAATCAAATTTCTTTAATGAAGTTTTTAACAGCTGTGCAGAGCTGGGCAGCAGTCCCAGCGCCTCCTCCCAAGGGTCAGCGCTGCTATGGGACAAGCAGGGCCAGGAAGAGGAGGGCAGAGGCTAAGGGCCTGTGGCATGAGGCAGGGAGCGCACAACACCACCCGGGGATGGGCTAGGAGGGACGGAACAGGGGTGACGATGAGCACAAAGCTCCTCCAGCACAAGAGCAGCAGTGGAGGCCCCAGCATGGGGCTGCCCAGCTTCCTCCAGAGCCAAGGGCGGCCGCTCTGGAATAGCAGAGGTGAAGGCAGAGAGGAGCACGAGGGCAGGCCCTGAGGAGCCCCTTCTCTCCCAGGCAAACTCTGTGCCCACACAGAGGGGCAGCCAGGCACAGCCCTGCCTTCAGAAGGAGCTGCTGCTCAGGCCTCTTCACTCGCTCGCTGTGGCCCCAAGACGCGGGAGCGAGGGGCTGCGGAAGGGGCTCGGACAAGCTGTTGGAGCAGCTCCTCTAGTGTCTGTGGCACAAACAGAAGGTGACCAAGGCCCTGTGTGATCACACAGGCTGCAGCTGTACTCAGATGAGCAGCAAAACAGCCTAAGCAGCTCCAGTCTGAGGCAGAAACCGTTTTGAAGACTTGCAGAAAAGACAAGAGTGCAAGCAGCAAACCAGGGCTCTGATTTTCACTCCGAGACACAACTTGCCACCAGTTAATGAACAGACCCTTTCCACAGAGCTCCTTGCAACAGCATATGTGCTCAGTCTGGTTAATAAGGTAGACAAGCTAACCATGAGGTGGCAATGTGCCCTCATGGCCAAGTAGGCCAATGGGCTCCTGGCTGCAGCAGGAGTGTTGCCAGCAGGCGAGGGAGGGATCCTGCCCCTCTGCTCAGCTCTGGGGAGGCACCTGGAGCACTGGTGGCAGTTCTGGGCTCCCCAGCACAAGAGGGACGTGGAGCTGCTAGAGAGGGGCCAGTGCAGAGCCACAAAGATGATGAAGGGACTGGAGCAGCCATTGTGTGAGGAAAGACTGAGTGTGGAGGGCCTGTTTTGTCGGGGTAATGGGTACAAGTAGAAACACACGAGGCTCTATCTCCATGTGAGGAAGAACTTGTTTCCTGTGTGGGTGCCAGAGCCCTGGCACAGGCTGCCCAGAGAAGCTGTGGAGGCTCCTTCTCTGGAGATCTTCAAACCCGCCTGGATGCCACCCTGTGCCCCATGCTCTGGGTGTCCCTGCTGGAGCAGGGGGTTGGAATGGATGATCTCTAGAAGTCTCTGCCAACTGCAGCCCTTCTGGGATTCTGTGATAATCTGCGAAGTGCAGACATCTCCCCTTCCTCCTCCCTTCCTCAGCATCCGGTACACCCAAACTTCCATCACCGAGAGGTAACTGAGGCCCACACTATTCCTTACCTGAGTGGTAGGAAGCACTCAGAAGCAAGTTCCACTCAGCCACCTGTGGCCACACATCTGGATGGCATTCCCAGGAAAAACGCCACACAATTTACATCAGGAACTCCAGCTCCTGGGAAGCCAAATAATTTTTTAGGCTCTATGACTAGGATCCTGTTATCTAAGACATTCATTTCCTCCCCTGGAAGACTTTGCATTAGGTTTGTGGTCCCTGGGTTTTAATTACATATTACAGGCTTTTTTTGTTGTCGTCTGCAGCAGGTATTATCCAGATGAGAGGTTTAGGTATTTTTCTCTTCACAAGAGACGACAGCTTTGCAGAGATACTACAAATTCTTCTAAATAATCATAGTAATTTTAGGTGCTTAGCAATGACACTGGAAAATTAAGAATAATACAATTACAAATGCATTAATTTGTAATATTTAATCTACAAAAAAACAAAAAGTTCTGGCTTTCAAACTTTAAACTGACCAGTTTTTCAGTGGGATAATGAATGTCAACCCCAAAGCAAGGAAGCTATCAGTGGCAATCCAAGCACAGGTAGAAATCCTAGTGCTGGAACAAAATGCAAATAGTATCGTAAGTTTACGAACAGCATTCCCATGACATAAATTGAAATGCTCAGTATAACTTTGTGAAGAAATTCTGAAAAAAAAAAAAGCAAAAGTTAAGATTTAAGTGAAAAAACCAGACTCACTATACTTAGATTACTCCACAACTATCTACATTGTGGAATTTTTTTTATAGACAAAATACTCTTTACCATCAGACCAGGTAAGAATGAGATCCAAGGGCTGCAAAACAACAGTAGGTCATTACAATCTGCACAGCTGATATTTTGTGCATGTAACAATATTTAAATCCTTACCCTAGGAGGATTTGTTAGAAGAACTTCAGGGTGAAGTTACCCACACAGCCCCTGACAGAGCAACCGCTTCCTGATGCGGCAGACCTCCTCCCCACGGAAGAGTCTTAAAGCCGAGTAGAACATGCACGAGACAGGCTCAGACTGGGGCATACAGTTCGCAGGAACACAAGTAGCATCTGCACGTGCTTCTGCGAGTTATTCCAACCTGCCCATCGCTTAAACTTCCAAGTTATATTCTGAAGATCTCATCTAAAACATCCAATTCTAACTGAATTGGGAACATCAGCTTGGACCTGCTTGGCCTCTACTCTACTCATGCTCCCTGCAGCTCCTCTTCCCAAGTCTATCTGAAACTCAACCCTTGGCACACTGCTAAACGGGCAGCACAAACTTCCGCCTGCAGACAGTAGCCGAATTGGGTTTTCGCTCAGCTCAGCTGGCACCGTGCGGCGGGCAGCCCTTGTCCCAGTTCCCTGGGCTCACGCCCTGCTCAGGGAGCTGCACCTCCATCCTCAGCATCCACAGCCGTGTCCCGGGGGCAGCCCCCGCACATGCTGCCACCGCAGCGAGGCTCCAACAGCCCAGCCACCCTCTGCAGCACCTACCGAGTCCCAGGCTTGTTTTTTGCGGGGAAAAGAAGTATTGAAATGAGGTGAGTCACTGCCCCCCTCTCACCAGACACTCCCAAATGGTCACAGTGACACTCACCACAGGCTGCTCGTTGAAACAGGAATGGAAAATTAGGGCCTGAAATTCTTCAGGTGCAATCAGAATCAAATATTCAAGCTTCCCTCAAACAGGAGATGAACTGTTTTCTTTGCAATATATTTGGAATATTTATACGAGAACTGGAGATCAGACACTGGAAGAGCAATTAATACCAATATTCCTGTCAAACTACAGCACCTACACTTCAACGCTATGCCAAAACACAAAGTCCAGAAGCATTTTATTGAACGATCGTTAATGGAAACAAAGACTTTACTGAGACTTAAACCAACAAAAACCTATTTATTTATTCCAAACACCAAGATACAGAAGTTTTCAAGTTTTGCAAATATTGCTCCAAAGCAAAACTCTATATACAGCGCCCTCAGTTCTAATAGTGCATAAAACAAAGACAAATACACTTATGTATCCACAGTGCAATGTTTGCTCATTTCATCAAGGCTCCACGTTGCATTCACTTACCAGTGATTTAAAGAGAGAAAGAGGAGAAGAAAAAAAAAAAAAAAGGAAAGAAGAAAAAGAAAAAGAAAAAAGTGACCTGCTAGACCAAAGAGCTGGCCCAGACTAAGAAACACCAATGTGGAAACTTGCAAACAGGGACAAAATGAATCCAGGCAGAGCACAACAACAAACCTTTCCTGAACACCAGAAACGCTAGTCTATTTTAAATAAATATTTGCAGTGTTATCTGCAAGGGCTTCCCTACTGCTCTACCAAAGGAAAATGGGCCTCCAGTATTTGCCATATGATTCACCCACCAAATCTTCTCCTCCAAATAAAAACTACTGCCCTGAGCAAAAATAAACTGGCAAAGAGAAAAAAGAAAAAAAAAAAAGAAAAAACCCTACACACACAAAAAACCCACAAAACAAACAAAAAAACAACTTGAAATGAATGCACAAAAAGCAATTACTTGGAAAGAAAGATTTACTGAGGAGGAAAACAGCCTACTTGGGAGGTTAACTGTTTTCACTCCTGTGACCTGTGAGCACAGCTAACCTGGGAGCCGCTCTGCTCCTTGAGGGCCTCTCAGGCTCAGCTCTTGCTTTATAAATTTCAAACAGAAAATAACTTGCAGGTCAAGATTGCCTGAAAAAGAAACATTAAAATAAAATAATAATAATTAAAAAAAGACCTTTCACAGTTGTTAACAACCTTCCTAATGATGCTCTTCTAATCTTTTGGTTACTGCTGTCTGTTCTAGAGCTACACGGTACACACGAATTCAGGTGTCATTAACAGGAATGTGACACAGCAGAAGCATTGCTTTCATCTTTAGAGAGTGAAGTGACATTTAAATATTATGTAAGCTTTTATTCCAATTGTGTTACAGAAAAATACATTTACTTTTCTGCTATACATGGGTCGTATTCACTACATACCAACTAGCGCTATCAAATTGTGAGACAAATTATTCCCTGAAATGAGTCCTGGCAGAAAAGCCTTAGGTACTACCTAGAGCAGCCTAGTTATGGTTGTTTTCTGAAGGAATCGATTAAAATATTTGCTGTGTAGATACTGTTACTCCTACAATAATATCACCTATTTCAAGTTTACGTAATAAATCATTATTTTTTGCAGCATATAAACATTACAGATTCATATCCATAATAAAAACTTGTAGTTATGGGCCTCTCAATTACAACTGTGCTTTAATTTTAACCTTTGGTGGTACCATCATGTGAAAACAAAACAAAAAATAAAAAAGAAAAAATCCAGCTTTTTCAGGACACGCTCTCTCAATGCAGGAACAGCTTACCATTTTCCACAGAGAACTTGGCAACATTTGGGAAGGAAAACTGAGGTCACGGCCACTCTTGGCGGAGCTATGATCTGCAGCTGACAGGCTTTCCCCGTCGCAAATACTCACAACACAACACCGTTTCAAAAGGGACTGTATCAGGATCTTGAACAAAAGCAGCATTTTCACCTTGCCCTCACAAAAATAATACAAACCAGAAAATTAAAACTTAAGGTATAAAAAGGGACTTCTGGAACACACACCATTTAAGATAATAACCCACTTGCTGTCCATGAGGACCGCACCTCATGCATAGATCTTGAGGCTTTATTTACACAAATATAAAATAAACTGATTCCCAAAACCACACATTCAGAGGAAGTCTTTACAATGAACACGTTCAGAGTATCGAAAAAGGTCTACGTTTCAAAATGTAACCGGAATGGCAGTTGGTAACAAATGGGTAGAAAACTAGGCAATGTCTGTCAGCGATGTGGTGCGAGGCTGGGACCGGGAGGCAGCGGGTGACGCTGCCGCCGGGTGTCCCACGAGCACGGCTGCAGGGGGCACGGCCACAGCCTGGAGGGCTCAAGGACACCGAGACACAGCGCCAAGGGGTTTCCCCAGGACCAAGTCATGCGATAGTGACGGCATAAATATGGAACAGCCATTTATTCTGAAAAGCAAGTGCAAGCCACCTGTGACCTTCTGCTACATCACTTAATGTACTCGAAGTGGGGTTTAGACCCGTGTTACTTGCAAACCTCCACGTAACAGTTTACAGTAAGAGCTGGACATTCATACTTGCTAAGACTGAAAACTGTTATAATGTTTTCTAATGATTAAATACTGTGTGCTATTATGCATAAACCAGAAGGAATTAAACATGACACAAGTCACAAACTATGGAAAATTATTTACAACCTCTGTCAACTAAACATTTTTGGCTCTTAGAACTCTGTTCTTCAGTGGCACAATTTTTAGTCGCTTCAATTATGAAGAATTCTACCATTTCCATGGACAACTTGTAAGGTGGGAAAGTTTAAGTGTAATTTATCAGCCAAGGCCCAAACTTTGAGGAGAACAATATAACCCCTTCCGTACTGTTATAATTGTTTAATAAACCCTAAACATGAGAGAAAATAACCCTTCTGTTCTTTGAACAGCACTTCTTCACGAATCCCTGAAGTCAGTCTGCATTACATGCAACCAGCATGCTAATTTCACTTAAATACACAGAGCTGTTCACGTCAGATGCTCCAGCTTCACACTTGGCAGCGATTTCCAGTATTCTCTAGTTTCACGTTGAGCAGCAAAGCGCAATCTGTTGCACTTTGCCTAGGTCCGTGATAAGCTGCTTTATACAATGTTTGAGTTGGGGAAGTCGAGCTAGTGGTTCTGGCGGTTCCAGCTCTCCAGTATAATCCAGCCAGCTCTCCAGAACTGTAAAGAAAACAAGAGAAACTCATCACATCCCGTTCTCCGCAGGCAGCCAGTCTTAACACAAAACAGAAACTTTGTGAAGTTGTTGCACAAGTCTTCTTCAAATTTTATGAACATTTTAACCTGTTGCATTTTTGAGAAATCAGAAAACCCTCTTGATACCCCATTTAAAGGGCAAAGGCAGAATGCCAGATGTTCCTGGGCGAGAGCAGCAGGGGAAAACCGGGAGGCTGCAGGACTCGACTTCATGTTATGCAGTCCTGCTCTGCGCAGTTCCCAAAGCAAGGGCACAGCTGTGACTATCGTCAGAAAACATTCAAGGTCAGCACTAGATGCAACTACACAGTTCTCCCTGGAGATCCTAACCAGGACTACACTACTGAAAGAACGGAGGTCAGGACGGAAGGTGACTATTCAGACAGTTACGAACTGGTAACAAGAAAACAGAAATGAAATTCAAAAGCAAGAACAGCAGACTAATGTACCAGAAACATTGATGCCCCAAGCATCTCTGCTGCAAACCAGGCCAGACCTGTCAGCTGACTGCAAGACAACTTGGGAGACCTCCTAATACAGCCACAAGAAAGATAATCCTGCAGTGAGGCCAGAGGGTGGGACAGTGTTACGCAAGAGGACCGAAACCCTCCTACTTCCTTAATGCGGGGGAAACACACAGACCTTTCAAGAGGGAAAGCAGCGGACATTGCCGCTAACCAGACTACAGGTTAGTTTAAGCAAGGACAGTGTCTGTAGAAGAACAGATTATTCAACCAATAATAAATACAAGCTTGAAATAAGAAAATTCTTAGAAGTTGCAGCAATGAGCAGCCTTTCACCAACTCAAAGATTAAAAAAAAAAAAAAAAAATCACGAATCTGCTAACCCAGAGCTTAATCATTTATGAAACAGATGCTACAATTACATGTCTGATCTTCCTTACCTAAAATATTTTGTTAATCCAACATTTCATTATCTCATTGAACTATGAAGAGAGAACTTTTACTCTGGCAAAGATTAGATTCCTGCAAGAAAAGCTGCCCATTTAACCACTGCACAACCAAAGATCAGGCTTAAAAGTTGCTAAAAAAAAACTATTTTGGAAGGTTTCTTGAAGCAGTTTCTTTGAAATTAAAATCAATGAAGCCTGGATTGTTTAATGAAAATACATAAAGGACATAGAAGTTTCCAATAACTAGTTAAAAAAAAAAAAAAAAAACAAGAGACATTTAGGAAGATTTGGAAGACAAAAAGATAACAGACCCTTGTGCACCAGAGGCCACTTGGAACGAGCATGGAACAGGAATAACCACCAAAACCCTCAAGAACAGCTACACAGTAGTGTGGAAATTACAAAAAATCTGAATTTAAAAATACATAGGGAAGGTATTATACTATGTCTTGAAAAACTACAGATGAAACAGCAAGAAAAGTGTGCATCTTTTCAAGTTAAAAAGGTCAAGAGGAACCAAAGAGCTGCAGACACTCATGTCCCTTCTGGCAGTTTCTCACTCCTGGATCTGGATGTTCATGCATGCCAGCATCGCCACCCACCACGAACAGCACATGCACAAAGCTGCCCAGGAAAGGGAACCCATTTATCAGACTTGCCCTCTTCTACAAAACACTCGCAAAGCTGGATAAAATAAACTACTCAAACCATAAGCACCCATGCAAAACTCTTGAAGATTTTCATTAACAGCTCTGGTTTGCATAGATGAATAAAAACTTCTGACATAATTACTAAGAGATGATACAACTGCAACTTTTTCTACAATACTCCAATCATTTCTAATTTAATCCTTAATTTTGTTTTAAAAATTCCCCTTCTCCAGGCAGAAATTAGATCAAATATTCATTACACTAGATGAAGTATTCACTTTCTATTATTAAATTGTATTGTGTCCAGTTCTGGGCTCCACAGTACAAGAGGGATGTGGAGCTTCTGGAGAGAGTCCAGCGCAGGGCCACAAGGATGATCAGGGGCCTGGAACATCTGCCCTATGAGGAGAGGCTGAGGGAGCTGGGCCTGTTCAGCCTGGAGAAGAGAAGGCTGAGAGGGGATCTAATCAGTGTCTATAAGTACCTCAAGGGAGGGAGTGCAGAGGACGGTGATGGTCTCTTTTCAGTGGTGGCCACTGATAGGACTAGAGGAAATGGCCGGAAACTGAAACACCAAAAATTCCATAGGAACTTGAGGAAAAATTTCTTGGCAGTGAGGGTGACAGAGCACTGGAACAGGCTGCCCAGAGAGGTTGTGGAGTCTCCTTCTCTGGAGATCTTCAAAACCCGCTTGGATGCAGTCCTGTGCCACGTGCTCTAGGTGTCCCTGCGTATGCAGGGGGGTTGGACTAGATGATCTCTAGAGGTCCTTTCCAACCCTAAGCATTCTATGATTCTATAAAATGCAGTAAAACTGATACAGCAATGCTCATCTCTTCCTAGTTCTGCAGAAGCAAAATTCAAGTCAACATGTTTTGGTCAGACAGCTTTACTTGAATGGGCCAAAACACTGTTTTTTTTTTTTTTTTTTTTTTTTAATAGTAACATATTACTTACCATCTAGTTCCTTCTCAATGAAGTCCATTCTGTGTATAACTTCATCCTGCAGGGACTCCACATGAGCTAAAAGATTGAGCTGCCACTGCAGCTGTGAGTTCACAACTCCTTCTTTGTCCTTCTCCAGCAGTTTCATTTCAATGGCTTCCTCTGGAGATACCTTCTTGGACGCAGCCTCTCTCACCTAGCAGGGACACGCGCGTTAACACGGACGACGGCAGGAGGGAATGAGCGCAGCGCTCTGCCTGCTCTGTACAGCCACTGCAGCCAACTGCTCAACAAACCTTAGGCTGGTGCAGGGGAGGAAGAGACCTGCTCCCCGCAAGCTTCCAACCCAAGACTCGGCACTTTGTCTATGGATTTTGGGGAACATTTCAAGCATTTCTGGCATGACAGTAATCAACTGAAGAGTGAATCACGCTGCAGTAAAGAAGGGGTTCTTAATGGGATGCTGCATTAATCTAATCTTACTTCTACTGAAAAACTTTATAAAGCATCCAGAAGAAAAATATTTGTCACTTCTTACAAAACCTGACTATATGGTATCAATGGCTTCTGCTTCCCATAGTCCTTTGTAATTGTTCTTCTGAAATAGGACAGGATTTAGAAAAAAAGCTCCAAGATTAAAGAACTGAAATATAGGCCTTTCCATGAAACATAAAGGGATCTCCATTTATTTCATAAAGAAGCTTCTCTAAAAAAACTAAATTACAGCTTATGTATGTATGAAATTAAAAAAAAATGTTCAGTTTTTAATTTAGAACACAGAGGAGAGTATATTCCTGATGAATAAATCTGGCTTTTTAACCATTTGTCCATCTGTATCTCCTAAGACTTGGCGTTATTTATGATACGTCCCAGTAGTTAGAAAAGAAAGCTACACTGCTTCAGTAGGAAAAAACATGAATTGTTCAATGATTGTAGCTCTTTACCCATCAGTTCAGTTTAGTTTTTCAAATAATATGTTATCTGAATAATACGGAATGAATTTATAATATCTACTGGAAGAAAGAGGAGCAAGCTGGAAGTAGCTGAAAAATCTTTCATTTGCCCTGTTCTTGGCTTCACTGTTGCTAGGGATACAAGTAAGGAGCAGGGGACGGCCAGCTGAGCAAAACCCATCCACCGCTGGCTGTACAGGTAATTCAAGCTCCAGAAGCCCATCTTGGACTAAACTATTCTATGTTTTTGTGAAATTGGTGAGGTGATCATGTCTAGCATTTCAATTTGCATCAAGAATCTGAATTCAAATGCCTGAACAGAAAAAAACAAAATAAAAACAAACAAAAAAAAAACATTCAGCAAACCCTAACCACCAATGAATAAACTAGATATACTGTTAAAAAAAGGCTAATCAGTTTGTATTTTGTCAGGCACATATTTTCCTTATAGAGCATGCTATTTTAATACAACTACCTTGGAATAATTGTGTTTGGATTCGCTCTCCATCTTGCATATTTCTCGGTCCAGGTTCCAACCGAATCTCTCCGACAGGACATCATCCCCATTCTCCCTTATCCTGTTCACTCCCTCATCCACGGCTGAGCCTCGTGTTTCCACCACCAGTCTCTGCTCCAGGGCAGGGTAATACGCCCGGGGTTTCTGGTAGCAGTGCTCACTCGTGATGTAAGACTCCTCCACCGAAGGAAGGGCTGGGGGCTTCTCAGCGGTCCCGTTCCAAGTTCTGTAATTTGCAGTCTCCTCTTTGCAACAGTTCTCTTCAATGTGAATGATGTGTTTTGTATGAATCTTTTCATCCACAGTGATGTGCTTCCATGGATGACACCACAGCTGTAAGTCAGGATGTTCTTTATTTCTGTTCAAATTTAAAAACGTAAAAACAACCACTAAATTTAAGCTTTAAAATGCTTGAGCGCTCTCCTTTTATGCAAAGAAATCAAGTGAGGACATTCCAGCTACTGTGTTTTAGTCACCACCATCACCAGTAAATATTCTCAAATATTCTGAAATAAGACAATTTCACTGAACTCAATTGTTTGTCTTCCTATAAGGTTGTGTTAGGTCGACTACTTTCATTTCTATAACATAGTGTTTATAAGCCACGTGTTGGCATTGAGAAAAACATTTAAGCCTAAGTTTCAAGGAGACACAGAACTACTCAACAAAACAGATTCTTTTAAGGGCGCCATTTTGATTCAATATTAAAAAAATATTTCTTAAGAGCATTTTCATGGGGATATTTTTAACAATGTTTTAAAACAGGTAAGTCAGGTATATTAAAGCTAAACTGAAAGATTTATTCATTTGCATAAATACATTTTTAACAAATTATAGCAAAAAGCACTCCTTCACCACCTCTTGGTATCAGGACTTAGCTTCCAGCTCCTCAAAAGAAATTTGAAAGTTTAATCCACTGATCTTCTATAACCTTCTAATAATAAGTGACTGTGGGGTGGAGAAGGGTAGTAGTTCATTTTTGTTTCCTTAAACAAACAAACAAAAAACCAAGAAAACACCTTTCCTCTAACACACGAGACACCGAACAAAATCTACTATTAGAACAATATTATACAAACAACAGCATAATTTCCCCACGCTTCTCAGGATTTTTTTTCAAGGTAATATAGAATATTGCTTTAAGTTATTTTTTCAAGCAGCAGAGACAATTATAGATATGGGATTCTTGGGTGCACAGATACAAGACAGAATTCAGAGTGCGTGCCGTAAGCACTACAGTTCTTCCCCACGTCCATTGAGCATCAAGATCGATGTAAAAAAAAGGAGGGCAAAGCAGGGCAAGAGAGCCCAGCTGCCCTGGACCTGCCCAGGGAGGGAGCTGCTCTGCCGGTTGCAAGGGCACAGCAGGAGCTGCCTGCCCTAGAGCTCCCACGAGCAGAGGGAAGGGGGCGCTGCCGGAGCCACCCTGGTTGCCCCGCGGCCGCAAGCGGCTCCACCAGCCTGACCCGGAGTCAAGCTGCTAACCCTGCCACTTGCCAAGATGCGACAACTTCACCTTCAAGTCACTGCTCCTCCGTGTGTCCGACAACAACAGGAAGGATGTAGGCACGACAAGAAAACTACGTAGTGAGACTAGAGATCTCGCTGGGAAAGCATTCCATGTGAGCGCTTCTCCAGCGCCTGAGAGCACACTGTGGCCTTGGGGAGGAAGGCCCTTCTCAAACACCCAAAGCCAAGCGCGTTCATTTACCAACGCTTCCCACCCGACCCGCCCCACGCTGCGTGATCAGCAAAGTGCACGGGATGACTTTGCAGGGGACAGAGAAGCAAAAGATCCAAAGTGAGCTACACAGGAACGGCCGTTGGGATGCCGAGCACCCTGCAGTCTATCCTGCACCAGACCTGTCCCCCCTGGCCCTCCAGGCACCCCTCTGAAATACTGAGCACCACCCCAAATAACTGGAGATAGCTGCAAGCTCTTCACTCCTTCCCAGATGCTAGACATGTCGCAGGAACACAACCATTTTTCCATTCTGCAATTAAAAATAAAAATCCTTTGTGTGTGTGTGTCCTTTTTTCAGTCCTTTTTGGCACGATAAAAACATGGGCCTGTGGCTTTCAACAAGACTACAACACTCTGTCTTTAATCAAACCAAACCTGCACAATGAGATCCAAATGGGAGGTAACAGCATCGCACACTTACCCAGTGCTCCAACACCTCCATGCTCTGCTACTCTCAGTTTACAAACCAGTCGCAATCTTAAACCTTTGGGACTAGAGAAGGAAAGGCCTAAGAAATGATCATAGGATATTGTGGATTCACTTGGGGGCAGAGGGCGGAAAAAAGAGTTATGGATTTGACTAAAGGATATCACTATGGGAAAGCAAGGTCTAGCGCTAGAATTGCTGCTCTTCTATTAAGAGGGGCAGTCATTAGAATTAGCCCACTGGTCCAGGATCTCCATTACTGCCAGGGGATTACTTCAGGGATCACCACACATTGAATTGTAAGGGAAAAAGTTCACAAGAACGCTGCAAATACTCAACACTTTTCTTTAAGTAGCTGCTGTTGTGCAATTTATCACCTAAAAAGTTCTCACTATTTAAATCTGTTTAGATGCTTTAACAGAAGCTTTTATTCTTAGCCCTCTCCCCCTTTTTCTTTCCCCCTTTCCCCAACCTTTCTTCACTCACAGTCAGTTTTTATACCCTGACACACCTGCATGAAAAGCATAAAAATAAACCTGCATTCCCAGTTATTTTGTTCCACTATTTGAAAGCTAAATCACATCCAGAACATGCCAACTGATACTTAAATACCGCTTACTGTAATATGCTCATCTTCAGCTGCAGCCCGTGCAGAACTTCTATGACTCTCTGTACATCGCCAAGCAGCTGGTGAGTGGCTACGATCTTCTTGGCATTCTGGTGGGAGTAATTTTCTTCCAAAAATGCTAAGCCGTGCATGTGACCGTTACTTAACCACTCTTTTTCATACCAGTACTTTAAGCTGGACCTCTGACCTAAAGCAACAGCAATGTGTACGTTAAAAGGAAGCATTGAGTTCGGCTTGACATTAGCAGTAGCAGTTCTGAATATCAAGGTCTTCCAGCAGCCTATTAGCACTCATCAATGCCACCTATGACAGTGGCCAAACCTCTGAAGAATGAAGAGCCTCTAAAATGGAAGCAAGACACCATTTCAGTCAAAAACAAACCAACCAAAAACCACCACAAGACCCCTCTGCTGCACCGTAAAAGCCAGGAACACTCAAGGGACCCCACACTCTATCTGCAAGGAGGACACCCATGGCAAATACTTGCAGATGATGGACAAAGAAAATCATTTTTAGCAGGGAAACACAACTGCTATTAACCACTTAAAAGCAAAGTGATGGTTCGAAACCAGCTCTCAGTAGACAGACAAATGCAGCAAAAGGCAGTGATTAAAATAAAGGCATGGAAGCAGCACTACCACTCCCCCAGTGGTCTTATTTAATAGTTGCAGGCATGAATTAATGCAGTCATTCAAATGCAAGTTTTAAAGGAATTGGTGATGAAGTTTTGGTGGCAAACTCAGTACAATGAAGGAAAAAAGGTCTTTGGAAGCCATACAAAGAAGTTAGCAGACTTTGCCAACATGGGCTTACATTGCTTTTAGGCAGTAATAACAGAATAGCATGAACATGATTTTCTTATCGTGCTCAGTATGAGCATCCATGGGCCCAAAGGATGCTTCCTGACTTAAATTCTATGCTAACAAGCACTGTCTCAGTGAAAGGAAAAGAATATACCCGTAAGGACATTCAAGTGTTAGGTCAAATAAGATAATAGTTAATGCTTGGAGGCAACACCTTGAAAAGGTCTCACTTTCAAATAAAAATACCACCTGGAAAAACAAATTCTTAAGGCTGTACTAGTTTGATTAACATCTTCAGACAGATGCTTTGCATCAAGCAGAAAATCTGCTAGGTAGGGCTGAAAGCCCTTTGGAGAAGGTCCCCGTAACACCTCCAGCACCCATTCAGTTTTGAGTTACTTGCTAGAAAAGCTACCATCTAGGAGAGAAGACGGAGCTCAGCCAGCAGCAATGAAACCCAGAATTTGAGAACTCCATGATTATCTGAACAGCACTGGAGTTATTCAGTTAAAGCCTATTTACACTATCATTTACTTAGCAGTGCACTTGGAGCCAAAGACTGTACCCCCTTTCCAGCTGAATACACCTAAGAGAAATGTAGGACAGTATCTGCCACTGTGTATCCTCTACGGCATGAAGAATCTGTCACTTGAAAGGGCCTTGACGATGTTTAAGCAAAGGTGAATAGTATTTAAAAAGAAATCACTTAAAAATCCCCCTCAATTCAACAAAAACAAAGCTGTTTTAAAAATAACAGTGGGTGCAGTGTTTAGGCATAACTGCACTAAATATAATTTCAGTCAGTATAACTGGAGCTGTTAAGAAGCTGCAGCACTGAAATAGGCTATGCCCAATTTCCCAATTTTCAAAGCAATTCTGCGAAGATCCCAAGTTTTATGTAGCTCACTTCATGTCAATGACAGGCTAACCTGATTGGAGAAACCAGTTTTACACCGAAAGAGTTGGAAATACTTCTCCTTTTCCAGGAAATCTTATTTAAATCTTTATCTACAGATAAAGATTAAGTTCAAATGAGAAATAAATGTTTCAGGATCTTCAAATCAATAATACATACAAATGATTAAACAAAATAAACCTTAGTTGTAAAGAGTGTTTACATCAAAACATTTTGATACAGTTTTTTTTTTTACTGAATATAAGTAGTTCACAACTTCAATCTGCATATGGATGTTAAATTTAAAACTAACTCGACCTAAAAGAAGTTAAAATTCAACATTAAATACTGTGAAATAGAAGCTTAAGGAAATGTTACATAAATTATACAACTGCTTAGTTAACTGCAAGCAATGCATTACAAGTACAAAAAACATTAGTATATGAACTACAGTTAGTAACAGTCCAATGAATTAAACTACCAAAAGGGCTTGTATTTTTAAACAGCCAAAAAAGCAGAGCTCAGAATCTAAATGTTCTGCAGCAGGGTTTGGTGAAGAGGCAAGCAGATATCCCCCTTCCCTCCTAATTCACAAGTACGGACACAAGCCCTGAACCTCATCCATTTCCAGTGCAGGAAGATTTTGTCACTCATGAAATCAGAGAAGATTTGTGCACTAAGTGAAGCTGTACTGAAGCATTTCAACATCATCCAACTCTGTGGTCAGGAGCAGAGAATTTACTGTCTGATCGACTCTTACTTCATTACTCAAGACATTTTATTTTGTATTTATGCATTTGGATAGTAAGTGTCCTCCCAAAAATAAGAGTCAAGCAAGTCAAAGCTGTCGAGAAACAGCAAATTTCTTTCTAGCTTATTTGAAGAAGTGCATAGGCCTAACCTTGTTGCAGACATAGCTAAATGGAACAAACCAAAGTTTAATCTTTGCAATGCATATAAAAAGTCAACCAAGTTATGACACATATAAGAAGGCTCTGTAACTTTTACTTTCTGTACCTGGAGGATCTTGACAGATATAGCAGGTATACTTCTCAGGTACATTATCTTCCAGCAAACCCATGCAGACTCCATGCTGCCAGCATAGACACTCTTCACACTGTTTAAAATCAAGAAGTGCAGATTAACAGAAATGAAGCCCATAGGCTCAATATGATCACCTCGATTGCAGACAGTAGCATCACGTACGTATTTTAAACAAAAAGATGAATTAATACCCCTAAATTCAGCTATAAATACATGAAAGAATCTCACTGCAACGAAATGTCAACCCTCTCCCCTCACACATTTTCCACATGGATTAATAGAGAATGATAACAAATATTAAGGGGGCAGCAACAGATCTGGAAAGGTGCTAAAATGTTCCCTTTGGGGATCAGAATTTTTCTGGAGATGTGCACACATATGCACATAAACGAGGACAGAAATAGTATGCAATCAAGCTTCCCTTAGCAGTACCCTCTCCAATTTTCTGTGTTAAAAGGTCTTCAGTCAAATACATCAGCATATTCAAATATAAAAATCTAAGGGATATTTAGATTATGTAGGACCAGTCAACACAATGCATTACTATATCACTAATATTTCATTTCCTTCAACAAAAGGCAGTTTTGCTAATACAAAATGAAAGTGGGGATGCATTTGTTCTGGCTTTTAAAACTCCTTTCTTTCAGCATTTGTCCTTCCAGATGTGAGCAACTGTACTGACAAAGAAGGGAGCTTGCGGCACTGAGGCACAATAGAGCATATTTTTTACTTTCCTGGAGCACAAGCCAAAAGCTTACTGCAGAGACAAAGGTTTCCAAATGAGCTAAAACAAATACAGATGATAAATCCAAAGCAACCCCAGATGCTCTTCACTGATCTACAAAGACATGAACTCAAGAACATCTCATCTGCAACGGATACCGGTCCTAGCCTTCCTGCTGCTCCGGAGCAGGAAGCAGGGCACCACCAGTTTGAGTGTGACATTAGGTTAGCTTTGGTGGTCTAGGCATGGAGGAAACAACACCTTAGGAAACAGGGGATGCAAAAAGGGAAGAGGAGCAGATTTCCCTGGGATGTGCCATTACGAAGACTTGGCCTCACAAAATGGAAAGACAGTCCTAAAAGTGTAAGGTGAGTGTGAAAAAGGTAGCTCAACCCACTGAATAGGTATTTAAAGCAGCTTTTGATCTGCTAGAACAAAAATACATGCGGTTCATCTACATCCAATCATCTCCAAAGCCAAATCCCAGGCCCAGCATCCTCTGCATCACACAAGAATTCACAAGTGTTTAGAACATCACTTTGTTTGGACTTTCGGAGGCCCCAGCCTTATCCTCAAAAGGCAGACACCCATAGGAATCTTGCACCCTAAACACCAATAGAAGGCAAAACTAAACTACTTTGTATGCATTTTCACTTATGCAATACGGTGCCTCCCCGGGAAGCTATGGAAACACTTCAAAATTTGTGTTTCTAAATGTCAAACGAAGGCTCAAGAAAAACAGGGAAGAAACTACCTTTCCTTCCTATAAAGTTATTCTAATCATGCAGTATTCCTCCTCTGGCAGGATCAGCCTCACCACTACAATGCTGAAAATAAAGAAACAAGTTCCCTTACCACAGGATCCAGAGCTGGGTAACAGATCACTAATATGAAACACAGATGACGTTCAGTAAGTTACAGAGTTAATTTGGGCATTTCCACATCACCGAACGGCCAACCTGCTCTTCTACAGGTACGAGCTGACAAAAAGGCGGGGAGAGCAGAGCATCTGGTCGCTTAAGCAATCCACGTTCCTGACTCGCGCCAAGAGCTCGCTGCCTTCTTGACCCCAGTGCCAAGCGCAGTTCTGCACTGCCTGCACCACAACCCGCTCTCCTTGGGCCCCTCTTGTGAGGGAGCTAAAGCAATTTATGCACGTTCACAGTCCACTTTATTCATACCTGAATCATGAAGTCGTTTTCTTCTTCTACTTCACAAATGCACCGAACAATCTCCAAATCACTTTCTTCGACTTCTTCGTCAGGGTTAGTGGTCACATCGATATCCTGGCTGCAGTTGTCATCACTCCAAAGCAAACTATCCGTAGATGATTCACTCAGGGTGTCTTCCTCTGTACAAGGAGTAGCAAGATAAAAAAATCCAGAGCAATCAAAATGTCAAATACCTCAAGGTTTCCATTCTGAGACACAGACACTGCTTCTAAACCTATCAGTTCACTCTAGCTTAAGGAGCACCAAGCAGTGATCTACTGCTCATAAACATTACTACATACGCAAGTTTTGTGCGCTCAGTAACAGCTACTTCAAAACACTCTCACGTAGCAGCTTTTGTCACTAAAATTCTAAACTCAACATACAGTGCCTCAAAGCAAAGGCATGAAGTCCCTTTAGTCGAGTATAAAAACAAGCAGACATATAAGTTCAGCCAGGATTTCTTTGTTTTTAACACAAACTAGTTTACTAAAACAAGACTATGGAAACACAGAACAAATCTGTGGTAGCAACTAGATCTTTATGAGCCACCTCAGTTCTAACTCTCTTTCAGAGGCTAAGAATTCAAGACAGTAGCTGATCTTTGCTCTTAACACAACACAAAGTCTAAGTTTGCATGGGCCAAGAACCAGGATAAAGAATCTAAAGCTTTCTTGCTGGATTGGAAAGTTCTCTAGGAAACTCTGGAAATTCAGCTGAAGAACTCAGTGTTTTCAGGAAAACTCACAAGCTTAGACTGTGCAAAACAAGTCTAGTGCACTGTTCATGTAGAACAAGCTTTTGTAAATTAAAGACACACACCTGAAAGCTAAATGTTCATGAAACCATTGTAGAATTACTTGTTAAAAGTTTTATTCAAACTGTGAGGCACAGCACTCTCTCCAGAAGGCTGCTGAAAAGGACAGGTTAGTCACGCTGTGCTTCAGTATAATGCAAGAGTTTCACTAACAATCATCCCAAGTCTCATTTACTTTGGTGCTGAATTTATTTTTAGTTACGAAGCTATATATTCCACACTGTATGCTCCAAATAATGTGACTGAGCACAGACTTACAGAATGCTTTAAAAAGTGATTATCAGGTTCAAGTCGTTTATAATGTTTTTTTCCTTTTCCCATATAGTAGAACTATCTTATATAACATGAAACAATAAAACCCCCATGTCAACAACAACAAAAAACCACCCACAGAAACAAACAAAAAAATCCCACACTTAAATGGTTACCAACAACACAACCGTACAGTTAGGCAACGAATGTTTCCCACATGTAACATATATTCCCCATATATAACCTTTACAACATTTCTCATTCAAATTTTGCAAAACTTGACCTTACAACATTATGAAGGCTGGAACAGTGTCCACATTTTATGCGAGTTGTTTACGAAATATATGAGGAAATAATAAAATGGCTGCTCAGCAGCTTCTGACTATCACTGAGCTCAGAAAGCCCACTAGTATACCCATGTAAAAAGCTGCATTTATACAGTTACATGTAACCACATCCAGGGGTGTTTCAAAAGCAACACATTCTGTGTAAGATATGGATAAAATCTATTTTTTAATTTTGAATGTATTACAGCAAAAAAGCAGCGACACCCAGTTCTGGCATATGAATTTGGTTCAACTTCTTCAGTTAGGGAAATGGAAATAAAAACACTCCTGCATAAGAATAGCCAAAATTCACTTCAGAAGTACTAATTTATATGTATTTAGTACCCATCACACAGTTGCTGGCCATGAAATACTGAACTAGCAAACTACCTAGGAGGGTGGTCTTACCATTTGTTTTCAACTTTCCTCTGTGCTGTGCAGAGTCGGAACCCTGCAGCAGTGTGCTTGGGTGCGCAGGTGACTTATTTGCAGAACAGTATTTTGGGACAACTGTTTTTTCAGGAGAAAGCTCCTGTGAAACATCTGTGCTTTCTTCACTTCCAGAGTATTCTGCAAAATTGTAAGAAATGGATTATTATTGGAAGCTCGTCATTGAGGAAAGAAGGCAGAAAAGAAATAGCATCGGGCATGCACACAACAGGCCTGTTCATTTCATTCAACCACCAATTTGTTAAGACTCTAGGACTTCACTGTGCTGCTGAAAAGACTTTTCTAAACTTTCTAGAGGAAAAAGATTGTCTGACCTAGCAAAACCTTATGCATGGCAGCCGTCATTCACTGCTGAAAGCAGAAAGCAGAACACAGGCAAAAGGCACCGCGTTGCTCTAGCTGTACCTGCCTACAGGCATTTCAGATGGTCCTGGTAAACAGAATCCTAGTAGTAAGGATAGTATTTGAGAGGAAGGGCATTTCCAGCCCCAAGAAGCATCACCAGCACTAGAGTTCAAACAGATTTTGCCACAGCTAACTGGAGGCACATGAAAAAAGATCTGTCAACAGCAAAAGGGCTGCAAGTTTGCACTGAAGGGTAAAGGCAAGCCTGGTATAATTTGTCCCCAAAAAGCTGTTCAGTTAACGGAGTTGATTTTACAAGAAAATCAAAATTGCCTGGGACACAGGCAGAGGCAGCAATATCCACAGTTGTTGTCCTGATAACCCCTTGAAAACTCTTTTCTCACCTTTTTCTTCCTACAGGATGGGCACATCAACCCTTTCCCTCCCTGACCAGATACTCAGAAACACCCTGTCCAAGCGCTGCTGGGTGAAAACCAGCCTGTGATCTTATGGGATTCAATGAATCCAGTAAGTTGAGAATAGCTATGACTGAATTCACCAGCATTGTGAGAAATATAATTCCCTCCGGCTGTTTTGGCTAAAAATGAAAAGTTACCAGCCCATTATTTCAAATGTAATCCTGGTCAAAATCCTGGATGAGAGGCAATGGGCACGAATGGAAGCACAGGAGGTTCTGTCTGAGCTTGAGGAAAAGCTTCTTCCCTGCGCGGACGGCAGAGCCTGGCACAGGCTGCCCGCAGAGGCAGCGGAGCCTCCTGCTCGGAGGGGCTCCGAGCTGCCTGGACGGGGGCTCTCAAGGACCCTCCTTAACCGGGGCATGGGACTGGACTGTCTCGAGAGGCCCTTTCCACCCCATCCACTCTGAAATTCCAGGCCACCCGTTTTGCAACTAGACCTACGCTGTGCTGCTATCATCAGCGGACGTTCGAGATCAGGAAAGCACCTCAACTAAGAGGAATTCTCTTGCCAATCACAAAGCAGTGTTAACCACGTAACTAAATGACAACCAAAAGATTAAATGCAGGAAACAGCCTCATCTGAAATGCCTGCTCTTAGTGTTTGCAGTCAGTCACAACCAAAACAAAGCAAGGAAGCTATTTTCCTCTACAGAAAAAAAAAAAAGACCTTTACCAGGCTTTATTTTCCTTTTCTTTTTTTTCTTCTTCTTCGATTTGGACCTTCCATAGTCTTTGGATCTTCTCTCTTTGCTCTTCTCCTGCTCTTTAACAGCTGAAATAAGACAATATTCCCGTTTTAAAGAAATATGTACATCTAATTATACTTTAACACTTTAGGCCAACTCACTACAAAGAAAGTAAAAGTTCCCAATTGACTGGAATGACCTTTTTTGTTTAAGTGCTAACTTGACTGTTCCATATATATATTGCAAGAGTACTCGGACAAAGCCAGCTGATACCAGCAGTCCTTGGCCTCACTTAGGACCTACGTAGTAAGAGAGTTTCAACCTTAAGAGAATATTCAACAAAATATAGAGGAATTTGTTATGTGCATTTTATAATTAGAAAATTGAAGTCTGGCTGAACATAAACAATTTCTTCAGCACTATGATGCAAGTCTGAAAACACAAAGCAAAACAACAACAACAAACCCACCACAAAAACCCAGCCACCCCAATGCTAGCGCGGTTCTTCAGCCAGTAGTTTTTTTTTCCCATGGAAACAAAGCAACACCAAAACAACTGTTTTAGCTGGAAGCACCTGCTATTCTTTCTCCATCTATTTTGCAGCATATTTTTGTAGGAACACAAAATTCTTTGTGTGTTCTGAATGACCTGGTGGTACCTGCTGGTCACTGTACCCTCGCGGCGTGCTGCTAGAGCACTCGGTGCGAAGCATGCCCCGAGCGCCGGCCGGCACGGCCAAGCCTGCTCTTCTGCCCACACCTCGTGGGCTCCAGCGTTTGCTCTCTGCAGCCGCGTTTCTCCGTAGCTGCACTGCCCCTAAAGCAGCTCTCCCAACTCGGCCAGACAACTCAGGACCGCGGAAGGCAGCTCTGCATCTCCACAGGGCTCGCGCTCAGAGCCTGGCTGATAAAGCCACTCGCTACTGCTCCTGAAACTGTTCCCATTTCTGATTGTTCACATAACCCACCTAGGGACACTACACTGTCAGAAGCCTCCTCCTACTCAAACCATCTAAAAACTCTGAACAATATGTAACTGCTAATGCATTCAGAAATAGTGCATTTTTATTGTACAAAACTCATGTACTTATACATTAATCTCCTACAATATACTATTATCAGCCCATCCAGTTCAAAACCTACAACTCGGGCGCTTCGGCTCTGCATCCCTCCGTCCTCTTACATCCTTGAGCACCTGCTGAGATGACCAGAGAGGAACGTGTGTGGCAAGGAGAGCTGCTGCGGAGCCCTGCAGACTGCCAGGGCTTCAGGGGGAACACAGCTGCTCGGACAAACACCCCCTGCCAAAGGGGCTGCTGGCCAAGGAAACCAAGCAGGGAGAGAGGGGGGCGGGATCCTGATCCAGAGGGGACACGGATGTGCCCTGCTTGGACACAGCGATGCAAGCCCTGTCATTCCATTTGTCCTGTACAAGGGCGAAGGAGGGATATGTAAGGGGGAATATGTAATTGTCTCTTTTCAGTGGTGGCCACTGATAGGACTAGAGGGAATGGCCGGAAACTGAAGCACCAAAAATTCCATAGGAACTTAAGGAAAAATTTCTTAACAGTGAGGGTGACAGAGCGCTGGAACAGGCTGCCCAGAGAGGTTGTGGAGATCTTCAAAACCCGCTTGGATGCGGTCCTGTGCCACGTGCTCTAGGTGACCCTGTGTGCGCAGGGGGTTGGACTAGATGACCTCTAGAGGTCCCTTCCAACCCTAAGCATTCTATGATTCTATGATTCTGTGTAAGATCAATGTGGATGGAAAAACTGTGCATCACTTTGCTTACTCAGATCACCTGAGACTCACCCAAAAGTGCAGAATATGCTACTGTTATCACTGTCAAGGTATGTCATAGTAAAACACCTGGGACTTTTTTTTTTCCTGACAAACAAGTCGGTATGAGTTTTAAAAGACTAAGAAAAGGCCAAGTACTTGCAAATCTCAGTATACAGCTGCTATCTTAAGAGCACACTGTGTTATTAAAGCAATTCTCCCCTTAAAAAAATAAAACCCAGAGTATGGATGGAGTGTGGACAAAATGGACCTTCCAAAACTACCAGAGAACAGGAGCTTTTCCTGCAAACACTTCAGTCTAGGGAGCTGGCACTCAGAGGAGACCAGAGCGAGCAGAGAGCAGCTACCTTACCAGGCCTACAAACACCCACCCCACCAGGCCCCCAAGCTCCAGGGAGGGCTCCTCGGGCCCGTAATTCTTCCCCTGCCCAAAAGGTGGAAGTTTCTTCTCATCTCTACATCCGATTCTCCCATGAGACATGCCCTATTGCTTCAGACCAGTGAAAACATCAGTGGATCTTGTTCTCATTCACACCTTCCACAGCAAAGTTTCTACACATGTCCAAGAGTAAATACTGGCTTCCCACTGAACTACTGGTTGCCTACTTTGACCAACAGAACTATTAAGTGACTATAAAGTCAGACAACCCCCTCAAGAAATTCTTTAAAGCCCATCATCTCAGTATCATCAGTAACTACAGACTTTTTTTTTTAAAAATACATTTTCTTCATCCTTACAGCTCAAATTCTTACCAGCTATCTGAATAAAAAGTGGTAACATAGGAAGCAGTCATAAAAACTTTTTGCTTTCTGAAGTTTCTGTTTCTCAGCACACTCAGAAGTATTTATAATACTTACTGGTGGGAAAACTATGCACAACTGAAGAACTGACAAAATTAAGACACATGTATCAAGCAAAACGGCATGGAAAGATTCTTACCTATTTTAAATATTTTAATATTTTTTACATCCTAAAAATATTCTTATATACCAAAACCCTGAAAATTAACCCTGAAGCAATTATAGCAAGACAATTTAAAATTCATTAAATTGATTATTCATTTGAAATGCAAAGAGGAAAAACATGCCTTATATAATTTTTACATTGTACAAGGTAGAAAACCCGAAGTCTCTAAAAGCAGCAGACTGTTTTATATCAGCACCGAGTGGCTCCTTAGGATGCTGAAGACTTTTCCGAGAGCTCATTGTACACTAAAAGGCCTACCATTTTCAACTCTTTCTTTTTCTTGAGGCTTCCGGAGCACATTCTCTACGTGGTTCTTGGTTTGTTCTCTAACAGAATGCCGGTGATTATTTAATGCATCTACAGGAGTTGAAGTTCTTCTCTTTTCTATTTTTTCATGTCTATATGGTGTACGTCTTAAGGCTATATGTAGAGGAGCATCTACAAGAGAATACAGATGAGGTCCAAACTTTAAATATTTTCAAAATGTAAAACTCCTTTGCCAGCAGCAGTTCTTGTTGCCTGTATGGGGGGCCTCTGATGAGAAATACTGCTCGGCTCCCAATCCTAGCAGCCTGAACTGGAAAAGTTTAAGCAGTGTCTGACTTAATGATCATCTAAAACCTGGAATGTTGGTTTTGTTTTTCTGAAACACAAACAGAGGATACAAATGCATTCCCCAGAAACTTTGCTCCTCC